CATAGGCTGCGCCGAACTCTGGATTGGCTTTGCAAGCATTCGCAGGATAAAATATTCTCAACGAGAAAGCAACGTATTGCACCATCAGCAAAGCTAAGGCTGCTCGAAATCCATAAGTTTTCATTTCAGCAGAGAAAGTGTAGCCGGCCATATGGAAGGCTAGTCGGCTCTCGCGTAGCGATTGCTACATCATTGCTCTCCCTTCATTGGTGACATGTGCACTAACATTAGAAACATCTCTTGCAAGAGTGCATGCGGGTCAAATCGCCGAGTTTATATCGCGATAGAGTGCCGTGACAATGTGACAACCGTAATATTCCGGATCCGTACAACATGATCCGGGCAAAATGATCCCCATGAAAATGGTACCTAAAGAAATGGTCCCGGACAACATGGTCCCGGTCAGATTGGGACAGATCAAAATGGTCCTAAGTAAAATCTGGGACTAACCGCTTGTACTTCGGGTCGATTTTGTCGATTGTTTGCACGCGTTGCAAACTGGCCTCGAAGGGAAAGAAAAAAAATATTTTGCTGTTAAGATCCAATGCGCGAACCATTCTAAAGTTTACATATTCATTTTAAAACACATTGCCTGCTACTAGCTGAGATAATGAGAAAGTTGAGGAGTTCAGGGAAATACCTTTTCTTCACCAACGTTCCAAGCGGGGCACGTTTTTCTTCAGGGTGTGATGGTGTGTCAAATGCCCTCTTCTTGTTGACGTTCGAGTAGAAGAGGAAGAGTGACTGTGAAGGGTTATAAAAATATTCGGAACAGGAGCAACAAAAATATCGTATAAATTGAAATTGGCAATTTTAAACAATATTAATCCAAATTATTAAAACTATATAAATTGATTTGTAGTATTTACCACTGTCTTTGTTAATGTCTACGTCACAATCTCACTTCTGCTGAACACATCGCTATGCGTGAACTCAGCTCAAGAGATGATAATATTGTTAAACGTGCTGACAAAAGAGGATCTATAGCTTTCATGAATAAGCAAGACTATCTAGATGAAGGATTTCGACAGCTAATGAACCAACCGTTTTACAAAGAACTTCAAAAAGATCCGACTAAAAAATTCATTAAACTAATAACTGAAACTTTGGACCTAATGCTTGATAAAGGAGACATTTCGGAAGATATGCATAAAGCAGTGAAGCCGGCCTATCCAAAGGCTGGCCACTTTTATACATTAAATAAAATTCACAAGCAAAGAAAATCAGGACGACCAATTGTATCCGGAATAGACACGGTGACAGAGAGAATTTTTAGCTTTGTAAATTTCCTTATTATTAACCTTCCTCCTACGATGCCATCATACATAAAGGACGCAAATCACTTTCTCCGAGAAATAACAGAACTTGTAATTCCTACAGACGCAATCCTGGTCACCATGGAATGTTGCGTCCCTATATACAAACTTCCCTCACCAGGATGGCATTGAAGCAGTAATCAGGGCGTATAGCAATCACCCTGCAAAAATGCATGCCAATAACGACGTCCTCGCAACACTTATCAGGTTAGTTTTAGAAAATAATAACTTTGAATTCGAAGGAAGACACTTCCTACAGACTCGGGGAACTGCACTGCGCACAAAGATGGCCCCTAACTATGCAAATCTTTTTAAGGCCGATATAGAGTCATGCTTCCTGTCTAGTCGCTCTCTGCAACCTCTGTTTTATAAGCGCTACATCGATGATATCGTTATGGTATGGGCACACGGGGAGTCACCACTCAGAGATTTTATTCCTGACTTCAACGGTCTCTATTATAGTAATATGTTTTCGCATAGTTATTCTAAAACGAGCATTGATTTTCTTGACGTGAGAGTCAAGATCAGCGGGAATGCTCTTACAACAAAACTCGTCAGGAAGCCGACGGACCGTCAACAGTACCTGCACTTCAAGAGCTCACACTCTAAACATTGCAAAACAAGTATTCACTTTTCCCGAGCTCACAGATTCCGGAGAATATTCTCTACTTTCGATGATTTCGAACGCATCGCCAGCAATTTGAAACTCGTGCTATCCAAGCAGAATTATCCACTATCCATTGTCGATAAGGCCATTGAAAGAGCACGTGCCATCGACCGAGAGCAAATCATCAATCAACCCCAACCCAAAATGTCAAAAAACCAGCACGCAAACCTGGTGGTTACATGTTGAGCACGCCTTCGAAATCTAAACAATATCCTCAGGAAACATAACAGTATTTTGCAGCAAAGCGATAAACTGCGCACCCTTTTTCCGGTACCACCACGCGTGGTATATCGACGAGGTAGAAACCTTAAGGATATATTGGTGCACTCGAAGAATAGGTCTTCTGACGTTTCTGGTTGTAGACCTTGCCGGACGGCCAGCGTGTAGGTTTGTGAATATGTAGAAACCACCAATCTTGTCACCAGCGCGAACTCTGACTTTTCTTTCAAAAACACTCAAAACCTCAACTGCGGTACGCCTAACGTCATTTATCTTTTGCGCTTTAAAATATTAGCATATATCATATAGAACAAACCAGTACTTCATTTCGGTTGGGCTTCAATAATCACAAGTCTCATGTCAAGTCCTCAAAACACGTGAATCTTAAAGAGCATACCATTGAAAAAATACGCATCAATCTCTTGAATCTGGATTTAGCTCTGATCACGTCAGAGAGTTGAAGGTGGCTTTTTTTATTCAGAAATTCAACACAGTTGCTTGTGGTATTAATGCGAGTCCAGGCGAGCGCGTCGATCACATTGTTGCGCCAAAAGCGCCTGCCATCGTGAGCTCCTTCCACGCCTCTCGTGAACATCCTCTGGAGCGTGCGTCCCGTGGTAATTCTTCGACTGCGTTAAATTCCTGGGCGCGTAAGCATAACTAAATATGACATAAATATTGCATACAAAACCGCCACAGCACTCTTGCGTTGTCTAGATCTCCGATCTCGAACCGCTGTTAATCCCCGAGGACATCGTCATTGCTGCTTTTGAATGCACTAATGTTTTTCCGGGGTGATTGTGCTTAAGAACTGTGACAAAGACTGTGGCAAATACTACAAATAAATTTATTTAGTTTTAATGATTTGGAATATTATTGTTTATAATTACTAATATCAAAGATTTACAATATTTTTGTTACTCCACTTCTGAATATCTTTATTACCCTTCATAGTCACTCCTCCTCTTCCACATTAACGTCAACAAGAAGAGGGGGACAATTGACACACCATCCCACCCTGAAGAAAAGCGGTCCCCGCTTGAAACATTGGTGAAGTAAAGGCCTCTCCTGGAACTCCACAGCTTTCGTGATATATATATATATATATGTGTGTCAGATATGTGTACTGTCGGACTTACTACTTCGAAGTTTATTACGATGTTTCGAGCGGGGACCACTCTTCAAAGTAGTAACTTTGACATTCGCATCTTTGACTTAACTTTTCTCGGTCCATTTTTTTTAATATTTACCTTACTTAACCTATATATATATATATATATATATATATATATATATATATATATATATATATATATATATACAGTTTTTTTTATTTTTATTCTTACACATTTCCTTAAAAAACAGTGAAAGCTACAGTAAAGCGGTTTTTGCAGGTGGTATACGACCAGGCGGACATTATGCGGGTAGCCAATCTTTAGTAAAAGTCTGCTAATTAATTAAAATTCATTAATTCATTTTAAATAATGCAAATAGGCATATGGTTCCCATTAGAAATGTGCTCAGCGTTATCCAAAATCTCTAAATCGGTAATTTTCAGGAAAACGTTCAGCGTGTGAGAAGTGTTGTAGCGCACTCAAGTTACCACTCGTGGAGCAGGTACAAGCCTAGCGGTCGCGGTATGGCGCCCGCTTGATTTTTCCGTCTCTTATCTAGCCCCAGCCTCGTACCTGCTCCACGAGTGGTAACTCCAGCGCACTACTGTGCTTCACAAGCGCTCAAAGTATTTCTTAAAATGACAGATTTAGAGGTTTTGGATGACGCTCAACACGTTTCTAATTGGAACCATACGTCTAATTCCACAAATTAAAAAGTTAATTAACGAATTTTAATTAATTGGCCGACTTGTCCCAAAGAGTATCCCCCCATAATGTCCACCTGGCCGTATAACCCCCCTGCACAAACCAAATTGGTGTAGCTTTCACGGCTATCTTAAACAATCGTGTTAGAATAAAAAACACCACACACACACACAACACATATATATATATATATATATATGTGTGTGTATATATATATACATATATGTATATATGTAGGGGATTTCATCTCAAATCGTGCTGGCAAGAGGGTCGAGTTTTTTATTGTGCTGAAACAAATATATGTTAAGGCATCGTCTCTAAAAGCTCAGTCGCCACAAACCGCAAGTTCGTCGGGTGGAACAGTTTTCTGTCCCGCCCGACCAACTGATGCTCGGCAGTGTGCCTCGCAGGTTTAGCTACCTTCAATTGCACCTCGCAGAGCAGGAGAAGTGGGACATTACAGTTGTTATTAAGAAAACTAAATGCTTTACTGGAAAGACAAAAAGTTCTGTCAAGCTCAACGAAAAAGTTTGTTCGCCTGAATTTCGCAATTTAAAAAAAAGAAAAAAATAAGATGGACGAAGCTCCGGGGTTTTTGACAGTTCCATGTGTCAGGTGAACTCCTCTTTTCAGGAAAACACTTGAGGTCATCAACTCTTTAGACGTCATAGACTCCGGGTTTTAAAACGTCACTAAGTTTAAATTAACTTTTATGTTTGTAGAGGGTGTGTTTGGGGTGGGGGGGGGGAGGGAGCTAGGGGCGGGCAAATAATTTGTTTAAGCCTATGGAAGCTTTAAACCTTAAACATTCCATATTCGTTTTATTTTTATTTGAGAAATGCGGTTATTTATTTTTAGTGCGGATTTTATTTGCGCAAAATAAAACGCTACGTAGGAGATATGCAAACATCTACCCATTTGGTTTCTGTATAAAAGAGCACGTCTTTAGGAAATCCAGACATTACCGAGCAACCAAAGATGAACGCAGTCCTTGCTGTCGTGTGCGTAGTTGCCGTCAACGTACTTATATCTACGGAGGCTGGTAAGAAACCCTCTTTCGATTAGTATATTTAAATGACCGCGCAATACTATTACCCTTGAGTGCTGCGATTCATTTTCCACGTGGTGGTTCTATGACGAACACAGCTCCTGCCTGTGCAGCTTAATTATTACTCAGAGATGCGCAGTTCTTTGGTCTCATGTCTCGTTCTTGCATACACTTTAATCGCACCTATTGAATTCCTTTATGAAAAAAATATGCAACCGTAAGTAAAAATGTCCAATGAGCATAAAGTGCACCAGATCTGCTTAGGTGCAAATTACGTCTTCGCGGGATCTTCTGCCAAATAGATACTGGACATGTGGCAATTTTCTAAAATAAGAATACATTAACCGATACAGATATATTCAAAATCTAAAAAAACAACGCTTGCGCAAAAATTCCCTCAAGCTTATACTCAACAAGCAACATTTTATAGTGTAATTATTTGTGATAATTGCAAGTCCACGCTGCTCCCTTCTTCGAACAAATGCAAACCAAAACATTTGCGGTATGTGCTTGCTGTATTACTTTGTTTTTCTTATGAGAAGCAACACCAAATATTGTTTAGGCCCAGCCATTCTTCATGTGTTTTGTTACGTCTTTGCATGTTCATAATGATCCTCTGCTCTTGGCAAATGCTTCTTTTTATGTTTAACATTTAGGAGACATCTTAAGATGCTTAATAAAGCAGAGTGCTGATGTTTACACTTTTATTTATGAAAATAATTTGTCAGAAGCAAAGAAAATATCTTTGACGTTAGCACATGTAAATTATTACAACATTAAAGCCCCCGGAATATAACTTGGCTTGTGATGAAGTGCCAAATATTCATTTTATCAAATTAGGAGCATTCTGAGCATCGTCAAGGACACCCTTGCTAGTCGCCTTTAGCATATACTTTCGCGTCACCATTGCTGCTTTATAAAATTGATTTATTAAACGTTCATTGTATAAATATTAAAATGGTATATCTCGAGATGAAATTTCATCACTAACCTAAGTTTATGTTCACTTATTCATTACAAAACTACTCTGATATATAGGGCAGACGATTTAAGCAGGAGTTATGTATATGACGAGATTGAGCGCTCAAGAATGACTACCACACTTGTGGCAGTTCGTTAGTACGCTGATTGTGGTAGTAGTCAAGTGTGTATTTACTGTGTCGTTTTATGATAATTCAGTTCCTTTCGAGAGCATTCAGAACAGTTTAGGATGTTTATAGCTTTAATTGACAGCCTAGCGAAATTTTCCTATTCGTTCGACTACAGAAATGTTTCGTAATATGTATTACGTTTCAGATGGCACTGCCCAGAATCGGCCCGCAGTTTGCACTCGACCCCCCCAGAAGCCCTCCAGAGTGATTAACTATGGCTATGAAGTATACTATTTTGACACAAATGAACAAATATGCAAATGTTTCTGGAGCCTAACGGGCAGTAAAGCTTTAGGAGGAAATGCATTTCACAGTCATAAGGCTTGTAAGAATCTATGCGGAGGTACAGTATGCGCATTACTGCAACACGTTTTTTATATACGCTCTGTGGCACTGTATTATTTAGAATCATCAAGTATCCTTTGCTTACGCTTTTGTTAACACCCTAATTTGTTTAATACTTTCTAGCTGATATAATGAAACATTTCCGAGAAGAAGACATAGCAGTAGTTTTTACTCTCATTATCTAATTCTCCCGACAGCTTCCCTAATGTCATGTATAGAGGGGTGTTGTAAAAGAACGCTCGCAGAATAATCCTCCGAACAAACCGCTCTATATATGTGGAAAAGTAGCTTCGCTGCTTATAAACAAACATCCTCTGGACGCACCGAACGTTTGGCATTGTGTGTATACGTTCTAGATCATTTATCTTTAAGAAATATCTTACGTATGCATATTCTTCGGTAGGGAATTAGCATGAGCCTGGATTTCCCTAATATTTAAACATTTTTCGTCATTCACCAAAATTTCAGTTGTCTAAATTAAACGTAGTTGACCACAGTCAAATTTGGCGGATTAGACGGCCGCCTGTAAACACTAAGGCCTTCCTCTAGGCTAGAATTTTTGACTTACCGCCATCGGTACTTAACATGTACCGTTGGGATCGCTGAGGATTCTCACCTAAAACTCCCTATTTATTGTATTTTCCAACTCACAAGCCTGTGTTTCCGATGTGCTGTTACAGTGTGAACTTAACAGGAGAAGGTCCTATACTTCCATATTATATTCAACGAAAGTAGATTTTCATCACTATTCACCAAACGTTTTTTGCCAAACCTTGTATATTTGATGTTGATTTGAGGAGAAATAATCATTTCTGTTGGTTGAGAACAAAATTGACCACCGCGTTGTTGGGTATCGTAAAATTTAAACGAGTTTTCTTTTATGATTAGAACCCATATTGGTTTGAGGGAAACCTAATGTTTTTAATATTCGAAAAATATAATACTCACTTTTTGCACAAGCAAACATGCTCACCTAAATTTCTTCAAAACACTTTATGGTAAAGTAAACGTCACCTAAAGTTCAAGAAAAGTAATGTATTTGTTCTACCGAGTTTTTGTGCTTCATTAGTAATACAAGGTGTGCTTTTAGGCATTACAGACTTTTAAGTGCTATGGGTTACACTACTGTGGTCTGTGCAGGTGAGTCATACTGCCTGGTGGTCATATAGAGAGCTGATTGTCATGATAAGTCTAATAATTAAGGTAGCCATGTTAATTATAGTTTCAGCTAGTGACGAGAAAGGTACGTATGGCTCTAATTAGACACTTGCTGAGCATCTCCACTAACCATTAAATAGTAAAACTTAGAAACATTTAGAGCGCGCGTGGAGAACGGTGGAGCGCTAAAGTTACTATTAGTGAAATGGCCGCAAATGTGCTATTGCGAAGACGCGTGACCGAAATTTTACTGTTTTTTTTTTCTTTTCATTCGCGTTTTTTTGTCATCAGCGTCGAGCCCGTTGAGCAAGTGGTACCTTTAGCGCACCACAGCGCTTCTCAGGCGCCCTAATATTTAAACGAAAATAAAATTTATTGGTCTTTGATGACATTAAGAAAGCATCTAGTAACAACCATACGCTTATATTCCTTTCAAAACCATGTTAGTTAACAAATATTGATGAATGACCAGATGTATCGTGACAATTAGCGCCTATATTATGTCCTCCAGGTCCGTATAACTCACCTGTATAGACCGCATAAGTGTAGGTTTCACGGCTTTCTTTAAACAAATCTATAAAGCCTAAAATAACACTCATTATATTATTGCAGAAAAATATATATATATTTGTTTTCTAACCCCACACTTGCCAGTAATAGGGGTGATGCAATCACCTGCCTTTCTACACCCAAAGATTAAACGGCGAGACGACTGGCTCGACAAGCGCTTATGGTTTACAAACTGACTAAAACAAACAATAGTGAAGCAATTTCAGTTGCTAAAGGTATTCGCTAATGAGGTATAACTATGATAGAGACGTGTCTTCGACTGTTCATTTTTCTTCTACTTTGAAACTTTCCTCTTTTCCTGCCTCAGTCTCGGGCTAAGAACAAAATGGTTAACATCCACCAGCTCGCCTGCGCAATCACTACATTATCATTGATAACTATGATGGTAGAAACGCTGGAATATATAGTGATCTTCTGTGAATCAAGTTGGTACCGCTGCAGATATATTCCTACCCACAATATACTCTAGAGATAATGGAAGCATAACAGCGCTTATAAACAAAAGTTGCGGTTTTAAAATGTCAATTATCGAACTATCTTCTCTGCTTAGTGATTATAGATAGTTCCCAAGTGTACAGTTTGTTCTGTGCATTGCTAAGAAGTGCACATAAGATGAGAAAAGTCACCGAATAAGCGCTGGTTCCTGATTGATCCTATTTTTTTCTTCGTCTTGTTTTCGACCTTTTAATAAAGAATTTGTACGAGGCGGACAAACTTTGTGCATCTTTTAAGATTGCCGAGTGTCATGTTTGTTATGATATATGTCTTACTTTCTATTTTATAGGTGCTTCCTTCAGGGTTTGCCCAAGACGTAATGGAGGAAAAAAATAACGAAAACATATTGTCGGCGTTCGCGCGAAAGCCGCTCATTTTCTAAGCAAATAAATGAATACATTCATGCTGTGAACTTATTTCATAAGGCGATCGTCTGCAATAGCGAAGTAAATATTCTCAACGTAATAATTGAATTTTTATCTAGCAGTTTGTCATTAATATTGCCCTAATTGCTCCCAACCAAGGCGCTGAGACAGGCTTGTGATTCTGCTTTGGGGGCTTTACAGCATAATAAACCGATAAAAAAGACCAGATAGGTGAAGTGACGGTGACGACGCCCACCAGTGTTGCGGAGTAGCAACTCCGGATTTGAAATGATTCCAGAATCATTCCGCACTTTCTCGACCGAGGAATGGAATAGCGGCACGGCTTAGGAAATCGAGTGGAAATAAAAATAGATGCCTTTTCCTCGGGAAATGAAAGGAAATTGAATTGGCTCGATTCTTATGCAAGCTGTGTTGATCTTTATTTAGGGCCAACGGACTAATGGCGCAATTCGTTAGGGCATGGGAAGTGGCTCTTGTAAAAGCATCGTTGCACTGGAGGTGCCTAATGGCTTGATTGTCCTTCTGGTGTATGCTCTGTCTAGGATGAAAATGGCGCGCCCTCCATGAAGCAACCAAAACTGATCAGTTGTAGACGGACGAGATGTCTTTCCTGGCGCAGGAAGACGCGACAAAGCGGCTGTTGTAATCATGCTCGATAAGCATATAGCTGATACCCTGGGATCGAATCAAACCTAACTGAAACCGGAGCGAAGGCATTATTTTCAACTGATCCGGAACAACACTGTCCGTTTGTTTTAATCGTCTTTTGATGTGCCTTTGCTCATTGATGAGTACAGTAGAGATTTGTCTCTATATACGCGTAGGGACTTTTGGTGTTCTAGAGCATTTGTGGAGACGTAGTGATGGCGTGTCTAAGTTCCATGGCGGTCTAGGGACTTTTCGTTAGTACGAGTGTGTGCGTCTTTGCCGTCGCGTTTACTACCGCTAAAGATTTTAAAAGTTCTGTGTCGTCGCACGCTACTGATTCTGCATTTGAGGGCTATCCGATAAGTTAAGCGACGATGTTTATATATTCTAGCATCACAAGATGCCTTCCCGTCTCCCAGACAAATTCACAACTAAAAATGACGCCGCCATAATTTTTGCACTATAGTAAATCAGCGCCTTTTTTAGAGGATCAAATAGTGAATTCCTGAACTACAGATAGTTTTTTTAGGAAACTTTAAAGCAAAAAATTTTACATTTCAACACATCCAACCCCCTAAATATGTTAGTTAAAGTGTGCTTTTCACTTTAGGTCACATTAGCTGAATATATAAAGCAATCGTTTACATTTATATATATTGAACATTATAATGACTCACGTTTATTAAACTCGTGTTTATCGATATGTTACTCCTATGACAATCATTGCTTTGAATGTTGGTTGTAAATATTATGCTGAAGGTCAATCTACAATTGCCTGGGCATTCACTGGCAATTAAGATAAAAAGTGTATAAAGTCCGTCACCCGAATGAAGAGATTCTGTTACACAAAATCAGATGGCAGGGACATTTTACCTGAAAATAGAGCGTTCACAGATATTGGCATCACCATTGTTGCTGTAGACATTTTAATAATAAAACCTCAATATGTAAATAAGAGGTCAGAGACTCAACGCAAGGTCTCCAACATATCTTGAGAATGAAGTTGATCACCAACTGCACATTGATATTTTTATGTGCAGATGTACTATGACAAATATGGCAGATAGTGTACATGGAGTATAAATTTGGAAATGGAGCTCTCAAATGCTGCTGAACCTTCCAGCCAGTTGTTCGCAACGTTGAGTTCGTAATTGTAGCTATAGTCAAACTGAATGATGGGCGTATCTGTACTCATATCGACAGATAAAAGGGCAAGTAGGCAAGAATTCAAGTTGAAAAACAGCACAACATGGAGGAGGATAAGAAGACAAAGAGAACACAAGACAAGCCCTGACTATCGACTGGTTTGTTAATAGAACATAAGGAAGAAAGATAATGAAATGAAAAACATGGACATAAATGTTTTCGAGCTTGCTGGGCGCTGGAATATGTCGCCTTGTTTTTTCATGTGGTTGTCGAACTTGTTAACTTCTCTCTTTCCTCATGAGCTCCGGTGACCCCAAATCCAGAAAGTTCCCCTCGCTGAAGGTCATAATAACCGAAGGTTGGCTCACACACGAACTGTTATTCTCCGTGATGTTGTACGCTTCAACCATCTGTCAACATGCTTGGTCGTGGTGTTAATATATTGTAATATTGTCGTCTAAGCGTGGTTCACATCCGCAATCTCGGCAATGTACCGCTAGATGTGAGTAAACGGTGCCTTTAAAAAAAAAAAAAGCTGTGGTGCTCACTGAGGTGGAAAGATATTCGCGTTCCTTTCGAAGCTTTCTTTTTGCGTAGCGGGCAGATGTATGGCCTCCCGTCAACACTAAACCACTGTATTTTCCGGACTATAGTCCGCACCCGGTGTATAGTCCGCAGAGGCAAATTTGGGGTCAAAAATGAAAGTTTTTGCTTAGATAGTCCGCACCCGCTGCATAGTCCGTACCCAGTGCATAGTCCGCACCTGGCGCTTTAGTCGACACGAAATTCTTCTCATACGCGGCACACCTTGAAATATGTATGCTTTCTTAGCTCAGAAAAAAAGCCTATAATATACATAAATTATCATTAACATACTCTTTTATTCACAAAATCCGTCCCGTCTCGTAATAATCAACGATATTGAAAAACATAATTCCTGAATAGTCCGCACGCGTAGATAGTCCGCACAGCCAGAAATTTCAACTTTTAAACATGTATAGTCCGCGGACTCTAGCCCGGAAAATACGGTAAACCAGATAACCGGCTTCGCGGGTGGCCGCGCCCCGGGAATACGAAACCCCGCAACCACCAGATTTCCGAGATTTGGACAGAAAAGAAGTTAATGCAGCGTAATGAGTATGCTGCTTTGTATAAGCGTTAGAATAGCTCAGAACTTAGTTTACCATGTTAAATTATCACTGTTTATATTCCTCAGAGTTTTCAGTCTTCGTAATTACCATTGCGACTGTCGTCCTTCAGCTGGCAACCTTAATTTCTTTTTCTCGTGTTCTGTCGCTCTCTTTCGCGATCTTTCACTCGGGACCCAGGATGTCGGCACGCGGGGTTTGCCACTCCTCCTCACCCACCTTTAACACCCTGCTCGCGCCCCACACGCAAAGCCGGTAATCTGGTCTAGTTTAGCGTTGATGCGAAGCCGTACATCTGCGCGCTATGCGAAAAGAACGCTTCGAAAAAAACGCAAATATCTTTCCCCCGGTAAGTACGTGGATTGTTGAAGTTCATGAAACAGCTCTGATGATATAATTATATTCGTCAAATCGAAGGCAGTTGGTAACCATGCATGGGACTCCGAGGGTCTGCCTGCGTGCTCCGCCGCTTGCGGCAGACAGAATGCATGGGAAAATGGCGGTCCTTTTCCTCTAGAGTTAGTATGTATGATCTATATGCGTTAAACCAAAACAATACCGCCGCCATGTCTAACGTTTGTTGTTGCCAGATCTTACCGGAAGTCGAGACGCTGCGTTGTTCAACTCCGCAACGCAAGGAGAGTGAGGGGCGGGGCGTAGTTCTCTGCGGAGGTCGAAAGAGCGGGAGTTTCAAATGTGGAGATGTTCTGAGTCCGACAAAATTACGTCCTGTGGCGTAAATATTGATAAAAAAATTTTTTTGTTCGCGGAACATTTGTTTTGTGACATTCTTGTCCCAATTACGCTGTTTAAAAAAACACTTTTTTTTCTTTGCAGTTACCCTTTAAAATTTCTTAGGACGAGGGAACACTCTGGCATTCTGGCGCCATCTATGCGTTGACCTTGGAACTGCATTTCACAAGAGCGAAGGTTTTGCGAGATTTCCGAGGTCAAATGTGCGTAACACCTATAAGAAAGGCTCGTTTATAACGTTGGTAAAAGTTTTTCGAGCCAAGGAAGAAAGGATAAAGCGCGAGAGAAATAGAAAATATGCTGGACCGCCAAGTTTACACTGCTACCCAAGAGATGGCGCCATTGTGTCCTCTCGTTTAAAGGCCGACGACCAGACTCGAGATTCTGCAAGGCAGAAGACCCTCCTCTCCGCGCCTTCGGGCGAGGGAAGCGAAGGATGGAAAGAAGGGACCAAGAGGGGCGGGCGTGGGTGGAAAGGGTAGGAGGGAGAAGAGGAAGCGGGCGAAAAGTGGAAAGCGCGAACTGGTCGTCGGTCTTTAAGGCCCCTGTATAAGAAAGGTAGCAACTTCTCCTCCCTCCTCTCCCTCTTTTTTCTCTCTCACTCTAGCGCGTCGTCGGTGGCACCGCAAGGATTGCTCCCAGCTAGCAGACGCTCTCGCTTGGATACAATGCGGCGGAAGGTTGTTTCCGTTAGTTTTTGTGTTTCCCGATTGCATTTCTGTCGTGAGTTCTACAGTTTAACGCGTAATTGACTACAGAAACTTCCGAGATATCAGCAGAACGACTTGACGGCCTGGAAAACGCGAACTAGGGCGAAAATGGGCACGCGATGCGTACACGGTATACGCTACTATGCTACCGGAGTGAGGCTCTGTTTCGCTCCTGCGCGAGCAAAGCCGCCTACTAGCGCAGCAGCGAACTCTTGTATGCTGCGCAGTAACTTTGGTACGATTGAAGGCAGTGTTTTTCTATTACCGCACGCGTGCCTTAGACGCTAAGAAGGGAGATCACGCACTCGTTCTTTCGCATCGTAAGGGAGGCAAGACGTGACACGTAAGCTCGAAGCGATTGCTGGCTTTTCTTTCACAACTGACGCGCTCTCCTCAAAGCGACTGTACTTCGTCTCATCTTGACATAGACCAACCACAGAGGCTACAGACGTGAGCGGTCAGCTTTGGCTCGGGCTCCCGCTGCATAAGCGTTCACGCAGCCGACGCGCGATCGAACGTAAGGAGCCTCCACTTCTAAAGTTTGC